AAACAAACAATATCAGCAACACTGTACTCACGACATCAGCTGCGTGTATATCAACGGAGGAAGACGCGTGCGCGAGCGGCACCACCATGCCGGCTCGTGCTTATATGCAAGGAGCGAAACGCGCCTGGCACACACGCCACCCACCATCGCTCGTGGCTCGATATCAGAGGAGGAAACGGCGCAGACACGGCACCCACCATGCACGTCGTGGCTATCTCAAGGAGGCCAACGCGCGTGCAGCACGCAGCACGGGCAGCCATTGCTGCGTGGCCTATATCAAGGAGGAAACGCCGCTGCTAGCACACCGTACGCCACCATCGGTCGTGGATTAATATCAAAGGAGGAAACGCCACGCACGCAAAACAGCACCGCAAGATCACATCGTGTGCTAATATCACAGGAGAAAACCGCCTGAAAAGACACGTACCCCATCATCGCTGCGTGGCTATATGCACGGAGGAAACGCCGGCAGCACAGCGTACCCACGCATCGCTCGTGCTATATGCAAGGAGGAAACGCGCCTCAAACACCGACGTAGCCCATCATCGCTCGTGGCTATATCAGGAGGAAACGCCAGGCACCATCTAAAAAACAAACGACCAATACACACCGAACACAAACAAAAAAAAACAAACAAAATAAAACCACAGACGACAAAATTCGAACAAGCAAACAGACCAAATACCAAGAACGCACAACAGCCACAACCAGCAACCAACAAGAATAAGCAAACCAAAAACAAGACAAAGACACGTACCCAACGCATCGGCTCGTGGCGTATAAATCAAAGGAGGAAACGACACGCATCACGACTGACGACGCCATAACCGACAGACAACAGGCACCACCATCGGCTTCGTGTCAATATCAAGGAGGAAACGCTGTCCCACGCACCGCAGCCATTGCTCGTGCTATACTCGGAAGGAGGAAACCCGCAGCACACGTACCCACCATCGCTTCGTCAGGCTATATGTCAACGGACGTGAAACGCCTGCCACACGTACGCCACCATTCGCTCAGTGGCTATATGCAACGGAGGAAACGGCCGTGGCACAAACGCACGCCACCCATCGCGGTCAGTCCGGTATATCAAGGATGGACCAAACGACCGTGTACAGCCTACAGCACCCAACATCGCGCTCAGGTTGGATCCATATCAAGCGGAGGAAACGCCGCGCCGACAGACGCACCCCCACCATCGCTGAAGCAACCGACACGCATCGTGCTCAATATGCAAAGGAGCAAACGCTGCACACGCACGCCACCCTCACTCGTCGGCACTACAGTAAAATCCCAAGTGAGGAAACGCCCTGTAGCACACGTACCGCAACCAATCGGCTGGCGTGCATATCAAGGGGAAAACGTCAACGCCGTGGCATGGCCCCACGCACCAACAATCGCTCGTGCTATACTCAAGAGAGAGGGAAACGCGCGGGGCACCCAGACGCACCCAGCAACATCACTTGCGAATGAAAAGGCTATATCCACAGGAGGAAACCGCGCGCAACACCACGCACCCACCATCGCTCGTGGCTATATCAAGGAGAAAGCGGCCGCACAACGACGCACGAGCCACCATCGGCTCGTCAGGCCCTCTATATCAAGGAGGAACGCCCGGCACACACGCACTCCACATCGCTGCGTTGGTTATAATCAAGGAGGAAAGCCATGCCACGACGCCCCACCACCATGAGCTCGTGGCTATATCAAAGGAGAACCACGGCTGTACACACGCACACCCTACCCCATCGACTCGTGCGTAATATGCAACAAGGGGAAACGCGCGTGCACCAACCACCCCCAAAAACAACCGAGCACAGGACGCACAACAGACCACTCCAAAACACGGCCCCACCATCGCCTCAGTGCTATAACTCAAGGGAAACGCCGTGCGCACAGATACTAGGCCATTACTCATGATTTATATCGAGGGGGAAGGCATTATTATTGAGGGGGTTAAGCATTTATCCGAAGGGTTGTACGGCACTTTATACGATGGGGGGAAGTGAGTTTTATCGAGGGGGTAAGCCTTTTCACAGCCGTGTGCTCTAATCCGCTGCCTGGGTTTTACCAAGGCGGAAGCATTTCATCGAGGAAGAAGAAGGATACGTTACCTTATCATCGTGCGCGTGAGCCTCCGCTAGTATAGCAAGCAGTGTGAAGCATCGGTGGGCTTTGCTCCACGTCTCAGCGAGCACGAACGGGAGAGAGCACCTCCCGGCCGCAGCGAGCGTCCGAGCCACTGCGAGGCATCCGCGAGGATGTGCCCCCAAAGGCGAGAATCTCACACAAACGACGCTCACCCAACCCACGTCGCGCTGAAGATCATCGCGAGAGAAAAAGACACAAGCGGTGAGCCAGAGAGAGAGGGAGAGAGAGAGGACGCTCGCCGCAGCGAGCGTGAAACGGAGCCATCAACTGGAGGTCTCGCGAGAGACTTACAGGCAAACTACGCTGGCCACCCGCCACGTGCCTGAAGTGCTGCGAGAGAAAGATGAGGGTTGCAGGCCAGCTCAAGGTATTGCGCTGAATCCTAAAACATAATAAAATAATTGAGGAGTACACTTAGTGGCCCAGCAGAGCGATAACACGATTTTCGAAATAATTCGCCAAAGCACGCCACTGCACATTCCCTGTCAGCTTTATTACAGCATCATGATTTTTACCCTATTAGCGTCGATACAATATGGGATAGAAATAAATGACAGAAAGTAAAGCGGCCTGGGCTGCATGCTGAGGCCTCCTGTTGCTGCAACGGTTATAACGTCAAGTTTAAGTCGTGCGTAAGTGCAAACCTTTGGCTAGGCGCAGATAATGCAAGATACCGTCAGTTGAGTACTACATGCATTTCAAAGCAACCTTCGCACATGGGTATTCACCTGCATAATACCATCCGCCCCAAATCCCCATTTGGTCTTGACTCACGAAAATCGCACACGTGGCCTGAAACTCCTGGTTTGTATGGTGCATTTGTGACGCCTACAGCGCTAAGCCGCTAACGCCTAATCAAAAATAATAAATTATAATGTTGTAAAAGTTCATATTTTGTTGTTATGAAAATTGTTGTACTAAATCATGTGAATATTTGGCCTTACTTGGAAGAAATAGTTAAGTGGATAAAAATACCAGAAAACAGGTAAATAATAAAAAATCTGATGGGGATTCGATGCGCAAGGACGGCTTTGAGGCCGTAATCATGTGCTGTAGCGTTGGGACTCTCGAGCTCTTTGGGCTATTCCAGATTATGGGATGATAGACAAATGAATTGAGAAGAAATCCCCGTGACATCATTGAGGGCAGTTTTAGAATGCCATGGTTTAAAAGCCTCCCCTCTTGAGGGTCAAAAGGTTATCAGACACTTATCTTCGCACAAGTCAGTGGAAAGCACTATTTCATGGGCATTTTCCAAATAAAGTGATAAAAGATGGTAGGTCAGCGCGGCTTAAATAAAAAAGTTTTTCACTAATGTCAGTTAGCCCCCATGTACTCAGAAAATGTCTGATATCTACGAATTTTAACCCCCCACTCACAAGCCGAGCTTGTGACCCTGTGAAGACAGAATCCAATTTCGGGCAACATGGTGAATGGGTTTCTCTTGTGTCCCCATCACACTATATACAGACGCGAAGTAATTCAAGAGGCATAGCGTGAACGGTTAAGATTTGTGCCGCAAATATCTACCGTTATTTTCCTCCTATGAACATCCTTAAGTTAAAGGTGTGAAAATATCCTCCCCGCTACCGTGTTCACGAATTTTGAGACGCTTTGCCCCTTGAAGCGCTCCCCCAAATTGTCATCCGCTGGAATCGCTTTTGCAGCGATCCCCCACCCGGCCACCCGCCGCGACGTCGCTCAAATATCGTGAACGCCAAGTGATCACAACGTAGAGCGGTTAAGATTTGGTGCGCCAACTGTTGACGGCACTGAGACGGGGACGGACATGGACCCCCCGGACGGAACGGGATGGACAGAATAAGGAGCGGAAAACAGAACGGACGGCACGGCCGCAGCGGACGGATGGACGGACATCATGCCAATTCTACAAGCTGGCATCTGACTACGTGCAGATGAGCTAAAAAAACGATAAATGGTAAAGAATAACAAACAATTTCTAATTCGGAGACGGCCGTGTTTTGATTCTTCGACCGTTCGTTTTCCCTGAGACCAGATGGCAGCCTGCGCGAGCGCGCGGCCTCCCGTACGAACAGTTGGCAGTGGCGACCGGACGCTGCCGCGTCCGTCGAGACCGTGCACGAGCCGGCTACCAACCACCCACCGCCGCCGTTCGTTCCGTCGTGATGAGGTGGTGGATGAACTTTTGAGAATCACGTCCGCCTGGTCGGCCAGCAGCCTGCCGCTTCGAGAATGTCGACGGCAACTGGCGGGGGTCGAGGCGCAAGAAGGTTTCATACCTGTCGCCACCAACATAGTCCGTTCGCGTCAGCGATTTTCGCTAGGCCACAGTACAACTGGGCCGACCCTATGTGCTCAAGTTTGGCGACAATTTAGCACCAGTAAAACTATAACCAACGAACCCGGAATCTTGTAAATGCGTTCTCGATGAAACCAAGTTCTCCATTGCGTCGGGCACGTATACCTAGGACCAGACTTCTGAGTGTTGCTTTATCGAAGAGGCCTACTAAAACGAGGTGCAAAATACAAGGCTCCGCGAACAATGCACTTGTAATGAGTTTACACGGCACAAGTGTCGGCACACAATATTAGAAGCAACTCATATAAGCGGGACGAGCTGTGGCAGTAAAACGTAAACGAAAAATTATAGGCATAACGAACGTAACTCGACGAAAAGATTCACGAAATTGGAGGGTGCTAAAGGGATAGCAAGAAGTCAAAAGGTCCAGCATGCTCCATTTGCTGGACGAGTTGTCAGAATGGTAAAGAATAAAACAATTTCTAATTCGGGACCGGCCCGTGTTTTGATTCTTCGACCGTTCGTTTTCCCTGAGACCAAGATGGCAGCCTCGCGAGCGCGCGCTCACCGTACGACAGTTGGAAGTGGCGACCGACGCTGCCGTCCGTCAGACCGTGCACGCCGTCTACAAACACCCCGCCGTTCGTCGTCGTGATGAGGTGGTGGATGAACTTGAGAATCACGTCCGGCTGGTCGGCACAGCCTCCCGCCTTCGAGATGTCGACGGCAACTGCGGGGTCGAGGCGCAAGAAAGGTTCATAATGTCGCCACCTAGTCGTCGCCGTCAGCGATTTTCGCTAGGGTAACTGGCGCCATGTCTCGTTTGGAATTTGCACGTAACCTTACCGGGAAATTTGTATCGGTTCGTCCGATTTCGTCGCACGTTACCTTAGGACCCAGACTTCTGAGTGTTGCTTAATCGAAGCCTAACTAAAACCTTTAATGAGTTTACACAGTGTCGCACAACAATATTAGAAGCAATCATAAGCGGACGACTGTGGCGTAAAACGTACGAAAAATTATAGCATAACGAACGTAACTCGAAAAGATTCACAATTGGAGGTGCTAAGGGGATAGGCAGAAGTCAAAAGGGTCAAGCATGCCTCCATTTGCTGGACAGTTCGTCAGAATAGTGGCAATGGTTTTATTTTACGCCGCATGAATCTATGGATAACTGTCAACTTCTTACAGGTTACAAGCTCAGAATTACCTGCATACGTACAACTCTTTACATCATGCAATATATTGCAGAGAAAAATTCCAGCCAAGTGTAAACATTACATGTACCTTTCTTAATATCCCTTAAATAACTAGATGCCATGTCGTACAGAGCAGCACGTATTTTTACTATGGCTTCGAATTTCTCGGCACTCGTTGCGGCGACCCTGTAACAAATCAAAAGCATTGATTCATATACATCCACGGACCACAGTCGTACAGACGTACAATTATAATGCGGGATTTGGAAATAAACCATGTCACAAATTTAACAAACCCTACAAAACAGTTTGTCTTCTCTTGTGAATGCAAGATTTCTTGACAAAATTTGGTTTTATTCACCCCTAATATGATTTGACATTTTCATCTAAAGATATGACGTATGAGTCTCACTTCATTATAAGTTCATTGAGTTAAATGAACAGTTCTACACAATACGTGCTTAATGGGGATGAGTTAGTAGATGCATGGTGCAAGCTAGGTGACTGCAATCAAGAGCCTATAAAGAAGGAGAGCGTACAACGGTGAAATGCTGAAACCCTGTTGCAGTATTAGTCGAATGAACAAAATTTCCCCGTTTTATTTTGACGATTCTTTGCAGTATTATTGATCGGCTGTCCTACTTTGTTAATATAAAACAAACCGCATGACCCTACGATGCCTCTACGCTGAGATAATGAGCGGTGAAAATCTAGTATTTTCCCCGAAAACCGACTCGAGATCAGTTTTACTGCGACTGTCTCTCGTTTTGTGGACTGTATGTTGTTTCCGGTCGCCGCTGTGTAGCGCTGACTCGATATGTTATTACTACAGCATTACTACATCTAGTGTAAGGGGCGGGTCATCACCATGGCCAGGGTTCTCCCTATGTTGCGCAAACCGGGCGCGCGCCCCGTTTGGGAAAACTCCCCCTCTGTTTCAATCGTTGCGCCCCGTTAAAATTACCTCCGCCCCAATTAAATTCCACCACAATAAAAGTTTG